TATATATATATATATATATATATATATATATATATATATACATAAACTTACACCTAAACTTGTAACTATGGAAAACATTTTGGATATTGGGAAAAACTAAAAGTTGAGAAAAATATCCAGAAAAAAAAAATATCAAGATATTCCCTGTTATTATTATCAAAATAATATTCTATAGACATAAAGAGAAAATTCACCTGGGTGTTTTCTTTTTGTAATGTTCTAAGTTTATGTCTATCACCAGGATCTTGATTGTTGAGCTGCTCAGTAAGTGACAATACTTGTTTTTGAAGACTGTCTTTCTAAAACATTTTTTTTACAAAAAAATATATATTTACAAAACTAAAAAAAAAAAAATTTTTCAAGAAGCTTAAAAAGAAACATAATAAATTTTGTTAGACCAAAGTTTTTTATTTGTTATATTATTATATACTACATTATATTTTTATATATACTATTATATTATTATACATATTATTATATATTATATTATTATTTATTATATTATTATATACTATATTATTGTCAACCCTCGAAATTAGGAAAAATGAGGTCGGCAATAATTTGCCAACCTCAATCTTTTTGAGGTTGGCATCAGGTCAGCAAAAATTATTAAAGGTCTGACCATAAAACATAGAAACGAGGTCGGCAATTTATACTGACCTCAAACACTTTCAGGTCGGCAGTTAGGTCAGCTTTGCCGAATTCCGACCCAATTCCGAGGGTTGATTATTGTATATATTGTTATATATTATAATTCCCAATGAAATTTATGAACTACATGTCAGTCAAATTAAGGTGACGATACATGTTTTTGAAGACTATATATAAATATTACTATTTACTATATTTATAATACTATTTCAGACAGTTTTTGTAAATATTATTAAAATATAAGCACGTAAACAAACAACTTTTCCTTTTCTTTTCAACATTTTCGATTTTTCTTAATTTAATTTATTAGAAATGATTCTCATAAAACTTTCAAGTCTTTATACATTAACAATTAGCATAAAAACATTTGCAAAAAAAATTTACCTCAAAGTTAAATTTAGCATGCAGCTCATCTGATAGGTTCTTCTTTTGAGACTAAAAGTTATAGCTGCAATTAAAGTTCATCCAAAAAATACAAGTAGTAAACAAGTTAAGGTATAAACCACCAACACAGGTAGTACATAAAACAACAGTGAAAAATATACCAGTTCATGTTCATATTCTGATTTTAAAAAGGAATAATCATATCGCAAGCGATTAAACTCATTTCGATATCTACTAACTTCTACCTCCATAGATTCTAGTTTCTACCATACAATATATAAATTTTGAAACAAAATTTTAATTAAATTTTCAAATAAAATTTAATTTTATTAGTAATAAATAAAATACTAAATAATTAATAAAGTAAACACTAAATTAACTAATCAAATAATAAAAAAATATATTATAAACTTTATAAATTATAAATAAACATTATTATGATTTAATCATAAATAATTTTATTTTGACTAAAACCTGTCTGTATGGAGCTTCAACTTCTTCTTGTAACTTTATTTTCAAAATTTCTATTTTTTGGGGTGTAAAAATCTAAAAAGGTTATATCTATAAAACAATGATATTTATAATACCCTTATATTATTATTTATAAAATATATATTTATAGATTATTATTATTTATGAAAGATGTATTATTATTTATAAAAATTTATGTATTATTAATAAAACATATAATAACAGATTATATATGTTTTATAAATGATAATTTAACAGATATAATATTATTAATATTATTATTATTATTATTATTATTATTTATATATATATATATGTATATATATATATATATATATATATATATATATATATATATATATATATATATATATATATACATGTATATATGTTAAAACATATATAACTATTAATAACACATATATATTATTCTATAACATATTTTCTGAAACCAATGTTGCAACAATTTGAGTGATTGCAACTGCTAAATAAAGTCACTACAAAGTAAAAAATAGATTTTTTAATATTTTCTATGTGATGTTTATTTAGAAAACATTAGGCTGTAGTTACTACTTGTAAAAAAGCATTTTCAAATTTAAATTAAAGTATTTAAATTGTCAAAAAGCATTTTAACCACATACGAAAATAAGATTTAAATTTTAACTAAAATCTGATTTTTGTAAAAATAAAAAACAAAAAAAAAAGATAAATTAATTTTTTTTATTTGAAAATTTCCCCGAGTTCATAAATAAAATTGTTCTTTAGGTTTGATCTTTTCATGAAACTTAATTCAATTTTATCTATGTTACTGTTTATGCTGTTTTTACATTTAAATTATTTTTTGTTTATTGTATAGTTTCATAGATACATTACAGAAGTGCTTATGATTAAATGTTTACAAAAGCTAAAATATATTAGACTACCCTTACTATGTTTACTTCTGTTTTTAGCAAAATTTCTATGCTTTAAATCTAGTCAGAATTACTACATTGAAAAATTTCAGTTCTATTTTTAAAATAAGTCCAAGTACTTATTTCAAAAATAGATTTAAAAATAAACAAAATTTTTTAATGATGAATTTCTTTATTCAAGTATCTTTTTTTTGTAATAATTTTGCAAATATCAATAGTTATAATGAAAGTTTTAATAAAAAATGGTAGGGTGTGGCATGTAAATCCATCATGACCTATTTTACAGGTCACTTACTGATAGTATTTAAAAAAACATAAACTTATAATAATAATTAGTATGTAATTATTGATATAACTATGTTATCATTATGTAATAAAAATCAATAACATTGATATAACTATGTCATCATTATGTAATAAAAATCAATAACATTGATATAACTATGTCATCATTATGTAATAAAAATCAATAACATTGATATAACTATGTCATCATTATGTAATAAAAATCAATAACATTTTAAGCTTTAACAGCTATTGCAGAAATTAATAGCAGCCATATCATTTTATCTTTCCAAATAAAATTTTGTCATAAATTTTTCAACAAAAGCATTTAGTACATATCAGAAAGCTTTTTCAATGCAAAATATTTTCAATGCAAACATTTTTAATGCAAAGCCTAATATTTTTTGTTGTATAAACCTAATAACTCTCCTGAGGCGATCGTTTACGAATCAATAAATTTTATAAATTCTTGAAAGCTCAGTAATTAGAAAATTTGTTCAAAAACTGAGAGAACTTTCTCAAAGTGTATAAGTTGATATTTTAAACTTATGCCTTTGTGTTACACTCAAAACAATTGAAGCATAAGATTATAAAAAATGTGTGCATCTCACATTTTAAAATATGCTCATATTAGAAGCATATGGTTTATAATTTTATAATGTTATGTAACTATTAATAAACTTAACTGGATACAGTGGGTTGTCACTATGGCAATTAGCAGTTTTGTACTAAGAACTTCAGAATCTTTAGTATTTGATCTGATAATTGTCCATATTATATTCTATATCTTAATACATTAAATTAAATTAAGCTATATATATTCATATAATAAAATAGTAATATTTATTATTTTATGTGACATGATTTTTGATATGATTTTTTCAGTTAGTTACTATGTTACTATAACAAGATGGTATAGAAAATGATTTATTATTAATAGATTTTATAACAATATCAACTAACTTCAATTATGCATGTCGTTCATGATTTTGTAACTTTCTTTGTGCAGAATCTTAAATATGTCACTGATTTGATAAAAAAATTACCTAACAATTGTCTCTCCCAACACAAACACACATACACATGTACACTAGTATTTTATTTTTATGTATTAACTTTTTTTCAATAACAAAATTGATTAAAAATATACCACATCACCTTTATTTTTAATTCTTCACATTCTTCTATTTTTGCATTCAGCTCATTTCTTGCTAATGCAACTAGCTCTTGACAGCGTGATTCAAGCATTTTCATTTCATCTTTAAGAGAGTTTATTTCATAAGCTTGGCGTTTTTTTTCCTTTAAAAAAGCACATTTAACAATGTATACACTTTAGGCCAATATTATAAATTTTTAAAAAGCAAAGGGGCTGTCTATTAATAATGCCAACAATTTTGTTGGCAATTTTAACCTCCCCCTTGTCAACAACTTGTCAAACTTTCAGAGACCATTTCCCCTTAATATATAATTACGTCAACATTGGATTACTCCCCTCCCCCTCCTACCCGCAAATAAAATCAAAAAGGAAAAAAAAAATTTTCCTTTTTTTAAGTAATTAAATTTATTAAAAAAAGTAACATTGTTGACCTCAACTTTTTTTGATCTCCCCTTGTCAATAATTGTCAAAAAATTCCAGACCCCCATCCCCCCTCCTCTCCTTCCTTCCTATTTTTTTAACATAATCAATGGACAGCTCTAAAAAAACATCTTAATACTTCTTCTAGATAGTCATGATCAGCTTTAACTGTTTCATACATTGTACGATATTTTTCAATACGAATCCGTTGTTCAGCAGTGATTGTTTCTAGTTGATTGAGTCTTTCCAATTTTAGTAATGTTTCCGCATGAGTATTCCCACTAGAGGTAGCCATTATATGAGTACTATTTTTAAGATACTATTCCTATAAATCAAAATAATTTAAGCTGCAAAAAAGTTTAGGTATTTATTAGAAATAAGATTTTTTTTATTTTTAAAGGAAAATAAATAAAAAATTAAATTTTTTTTTAATAATTAAAGAGGAAACCTACCAAGAGGTAAAAACTAAAAATTAATAATAAAACAACTAACTGTATCCTTTTAATTTTAATTCATTCCAAATAAAAATAATAAAATAATAAAACAACTTTCTGCATCACTTCCTTGCAATTCATTTCAAATACAAAACTAATGGGTGATGCATAAGTTATTGGAATAATCAAAAAAACTTCAATATCTTATTAACAAGTAAAGAGTAAGTAAATTATAAGCCTATTTTTCTAAAATAAAGTATTTTTGAATAAAAATCATTTTTTTTTTGTATGAAAAAACTCAATCATCTGCAAAAGATTTAAAATTTACATTGACAACTTTCATAAGCAATTGTAAATAATCCATTTCTTTTAATGCAATTAATCAAGACTTCCTCTGTCCTGCCAACTTCTCTTGTAAACCTTTTGAGTCAAATGCCCCCAAAAGTTGGTTAGATACCTTACCAAGATAATTGATATAAACATTCAAATAGATACCTTGATAGATACCTTATTAACATAATTCATATATACGTTCAATTGAGAGAATCTTTAGAGTAATAAAAACTTGATCAAAAAAATTTATTAAAGTTGCCATGGTACTTGTGAATGAATGGAAAAAATCATTTTTCTAAACATTTATTCTTATATAGTGGTGTATTGATTGTTATAGCCTTGGAAGCACAAAACAACGGCTCATACCTCTATTAGATACAGTAATCAACATTATTAACTTTTTGAAAAATTCTCTTTTCCAACAAATCAAACACTTTCTGTTTCTTTGATGTCTGCATAACATTTTAGAATTTTAAAGCCTGTTATCACCTGCAAAACAAAAGTATTTTTTAACATCAATGACCAGAAGTGATTTTGTGTAAAAAAGCTTAAAAAATGTAAAAAGAGTTAAAAAATACTCTGCTTCTTTTTTCTTTTTTTTTTCATATATTTTTTCATATAAATTGTGGTTTTTTACAAAAAATTATTTTTCTGCTGCATTTTTAATAAATTTGTTTAAATGAAATAAATATTTCACAGATTTTTAATAAATTTGCTTTAATGAAATAAATATTTTACAGACTTTTTATACACGAGTCAAACCACATGGTTGTTTAATTAGCTAGAAAAGTTAAATTGAAATTTGTGTGACAACTTATGCATCACCAGTTAATTTTATTTTATTTTTTCATAAAGAGATAAAGAACAATCAACAAACAAAAAATATGTATATTAAATAATGAACATATAAAACTGTAAAATAAGTTTGTAAAAAAAAAAAGTAATAAAAAAAGAAAAAAAGAAAACAATAATTATTCAATAAATATTATATATAATATTTATACCAATAAAAATATCAATATATACATACATATATTTACATAAATACAATGTTAATTTATATAGTTATTACTAATCCTTGTATATAAATATTTGCTAAAAATGTAAAAAATCCTAACCAATAAAACTCTTAGGTTTGCTCACAAATGATGGAACATTCAAGTACTCCTCTGTAATAAATGAATCAACAAGATCACAAAAAGACAAAGGAGTTTGAGTTTCATTATTTTTTGTTGTTTCATCTAACATCAAATCGATTAAATCGAACGTTTGAGTACCAGATGAATAAATTTGTTGATGTATTGAAGAGAATGTTTGAGTGCCAAACGTGTTGGTAGATATAATATTATCATCCTGATTTTGGTTATAAGAGTTTGGTAAGAGATCACGTTTATTTCTTGAGAAATCTATATTTAAATATAAGCAATCAGGATCTGTTTGGGTAGATGACGTATTTTGCCCAATAGCAAAGACTTCACTAAAATTTTCAGACAACCAGCTATTGTTCATGTTGTGTGTTGTTTGTGTTCCTATATTATTACAATCACCTATCTGATCACTTAGTGATGACTCATTTATAAGAAAATCAAGTTGGATTGATTTACTTAAAGGAAGATTAGAATCTTTCAAAACTGTTTGAGTCTCCATATTGCAACCATCATTAAATTCAGACAACCAAGTCATTAAACTATCTGTTTGTGTTTCCTCATCTAAAGAAAAAATATTTTCAGAACCCACTGGCAGTTTACATTGCATGCCAAAATCACAAGTTCGTAAACTTTCAGAGTTTTTGCATGTTAAATTGTTTTTCTGAACTCCAGGATCAATATCTTTAAAATTGTTTGGTGTTATACAAAAAGTCTTTGCTAAACTATCAGCAGAGGAACCAAGCTCTCCATAACAATCAATAAGTTGTGAGCTTACTTTAGTTTGGACAGCTTGTTCAATAAATAATTTTTTTTTAGATACACTACTCGCTGTTTTTGACTTCTTTTTTTTTGTTTCCTGTTGCTGTTGCTGCTTTAAAAGCGTCATTTTTAGCAAGAGAGGATCGGAAAGAACTTCTTTAGCTTCCTTAGATGCAAGGTATAACATACGTTTTTCATACTTACTTAACTTTTGAAATTCTTTGTTTGAAGATTTTGAATTCAACAATCTGTTGTTTAAGCTGAAAACAGCATTTTTAACATTGTTTACTTCAATTTTGAAATCAAATGAACTGTTTTTGTCATTATTTTTTTCATCATCACATTTAGAAGAATTACCATCACTAATAAAATCACTATCAATAGGTAGAGTATTCACAGGTTGTGCAGTTTGGTAATTGTAATTGGATTCTATGATCATTGATTTATCTGAAACATAAGAACTACTTTCATTAAGAATCATAGGATCGACTTTCGGCAATATATCTACTTGCTTTGAGCTGAAGCTATTCCCACTTGATTTCAATTTTCCATTTAATGCTTGAGATGGAAGTATGTAAAGAACACCTGGTATAGTATACGTTTGAAGATTTTGCAGACTAAAACAAAAGTTAAATTAAAATTTAAGTTGTTCTAATTTACCAGTGTTTGGAGGATTTAAGAATTTTATAAAAAAAATCTAAAGGATCAAAAGATCGTTTAGATTTTTTTCATGTTTTTGATCAGTTAAAAAATCTTCAATTAATAAAATGGGATCATAGATCTTCAATTAATAAAATGGGATCATAGATCTTCAATTAATAAAATGGGATCATAGATCTTCAATTAATAAAACTAAGGATCTTGCTTAACACTGCTTTTTAAAAGATTCAATAAAACAATTAATTAATAAAACAAACGAATAATAAAATATTGATTGAAAACAATTAATTTTATAGTTAGTATAATCAAAAATAAAATAAGTGAAATAAATATTACCAAGTAAAAAAATTATAATTAAATGTGATATATATTAACAAGTAAAAAAAATTATAAATAAGTATTAAAAAAATTGTGTAAAAAAAATTAATTTTATAAAATTTAATTAATAAAATTTAGAAGACCTAACAAAATCAAAAGGCTAACAAAAACCAATCTTATAAAATTGTCATACTAAAAAAGATTTTGAGAGCAGGTTAAAGTAGGCACAAAATTAAAAAGAAAACATAAATATGTTAAAAAAGAGATGTTAAGTCCCTAAAAGGAATTCAGTTTTGAATCACTATTTGTTCTATGACAAGACCTATGAGGTAAATTGTTAAAAAATAAAGAGGACTTATTCTTACCAGAGTCTTGTTCTTTTTTAGCCTAGAGTCCTGCTATTTTACATAAAGACTGTGGGTTTACATTTGATAGTTCACATATCAGAAATGTACTTTTTATTATAATAAAAAGTTGAGAAGTTTCTCATAATTTTCGGAGCTCTTAGTTTTTTGAGATATCTTCCTTTTCTATTTTTACTTTTTCTCAAGTTTTTTTTAAATTAATTTACTCTCAACAAGGCTGCAAGGAACCACTATCTAAGTTAAGAATTACCAGAGAACAAAGAATATTGTAAGAATGAAAGAAAACAGCAAAAAGAAGACTTGAAAAATGTAAACTTTGTAAACTTTATGAGTTTTGGAAGATGATGCTAGAGATTACACTACTTTTTTACATTTTTTGCTTGCTAATATTTAAATAACTCTATTTATTTTAACAATATTTTAAGGAAGTTGAACAAAATGTAAAAAAATTAACAAAATTTATCCCAAAAAAAAAAAATCTAGCAAGCATGTGAATATTTATTTAGACGATGTGAGTTTTATTTGTTCAGGTATTGGATAATTGACATTAAAACATTACTTTAAAAAACATTAATTTTAACTAACTTTGCTTGATTCTAAAAAATTTAGTTGTCTGGTCTCTATAAAATAATTGATTTTATCACTTACTGGACGCAGAATTTATTAAAAGTGTGCCTAAAATAAGCTAACCTTTATACAAAGTATATTTCTCATATTTAACCATCTAAAATAAGCTAGCCTATATACAAAGTATATTTCTCATATTAAACCATCTAAAATAAGTTAGCCTATATACAAAGTATAGCGGGTGACCGAGCAACAGCGTAACGCAAAAAATATAAAAATTTGAAAATACACAAAAAATTTATTTCAATTCATAACTGTCTAGAATTTTGACTAGATGTTAGATGTAGTCTTATCCGATTGCAACATTTGCAGAATGCTTCGTCTTTTTGATTCTTGCAGATCCATTTTAAATAAATTTTTTTAATTTTTACGTTTTTTTTATTTCTGTGTTGATATCATTTCGTAATTTGTAAACAAAAAGATCCATGGATATCTACAAGCATGGATAGAGCCTTAAAGGGATCCCAAACTCCCAACACATGTTATGTTCATATTAAAGATATAGTCGTTCTAAATAATAAGTAAATTTAGTTCAAGTTAATAATTCAATATTTACAGTTGCAATATAATAAAGAAATGGTGTTTAATACTGAACTTTTTATTTAGTTATTTATTTTTTTACCTACATTTGTTATAAAAAACTTTAGAACCCCCGTCATTAAAATAATTTGTTTTGAATATATTTCGATGTGATTATTCAAACTAATTTTTTTCGTTTGACTTTCCGAACTTCATGCAAAGCAAATTGAAACGAAATATCGTCTAACCAAATAAAAAAGCTGTTACTAATTTTATACGGGTAATTAATGTAAAACAATTTTTGAGATAATTCTGAGAAACTCTGAGATAAATATTCATAATTTATAAACATTAAATATATGGCGCAATAACAATTTATGGCAACGAGCAAGCATAAAATATTTAAGGTTTTTAATATCTTTTTAAATATTAAAAGTAGAAAAAAAAAAAACTAAACAAATAACCAAAAAAACTTCGACTAAAAATAAATAAAAATATTTCCAGAGTTTCTTTTGTTAAAAGTCTACCGTGACGTCAAATACTAAAACTTTTATGAATTAAACACGCTTCAAAGGAATTGCCAAAGTCTGTAGATTGCGACGCATAATTTGAAGACTCCGAGTAGTTGAAAAAAATGGAGAAGACGAGCTTCGACAAAAAAACAACATTTTTTTTCACGGTATGCATTCATTATTTATTTTTAATCAAAAAAATTTGGTTCAAACCTTTTTTTTTAACATTATCTTTAATATGAACACAACATGTGTTGGGAGTTTGGGATCCCTTTAAATTTGAGCGTAACGCAGTTGCGTGGTCACCCGGTATTTTCCATATTTATATTTTTACATGACTATTATTATATATTGTTCCATAAGCAAATTTGACTTTATCACTAAAAAAAAAGCCCCAATACAAAAACAGTATTTCATCCAGGGACAAATAGAAGATTTTTAGTATCAAAAGCAAGTTAGAAAATGAAGAGCATGATAAAGAGCAATCTTAGCAGATGCTTAATTTGCAATTGATTATAGTTTCCATTAGAGATATTTAGTAAATGCTAATGCAAGTAGATATAAAGTAGAGAACTCAGTAAAAGTATCGTCATTCAACAATATAGGGGACTCAGTAAGAGTACTGTTATTCATCAATATAGAGGACTCAGTAAGAATATCATCATTAATCAATATAGAGGACTCAGTAAAAGTATCGTCATTCAACAATATAGAGGACTCAGTAAAAGTATTGTCATACTGCGGTTAGAAAGAAATGATTTAATAATCTTAAAAACTTTCCCAGATACCACCAATGAAACAACCTTATGAAGAAGAGCAGCATGCACAACTTTATCAAAAGCGTTTGATATGTCAAGAATAATACCCCATTACCACCAAGGTTATGTGGTATTGACAACAAGTCAGGTGTCGAATGAGAAGATCGAAATCCATCAGAATTCTGTATGTCAGAATTGGTTGTCAGAAAGTTATTAGACTAAAGATGAGATACTAGAAATTTGTTAATTAAAAGCTAAAAGACCTTGCTAGTAAAAGAGAAAAGAATGATCAGTCTATAGTTAAAAGATGTTAGAAATTTATTAATAAAAAAAAACACAAAAACCTTGCAAGTATTAGAGAGAAGACTGATTGGACTAAAGTTAATAGAGTCAGAGTGTTCACCAGAGTTTTGAAAAATCAAAACCTCAAATGATTTAAACTGATTTTACAACAGTTTAAACTTTTCAATAAATTCACTCAGTTTATCCGAGTGTGTAATGACATTAGCATTTTTGCTTTGAATTTACATACTTAAGTTGTTAAAATGACCCACATTACCTACAAGATAACTAGTTGTTATTTTAAAATTGTCAACTTCAAAATATTCTACTATTACACTTTTCATTCAACTTTAAAAAACACTTTCACTTAATTTCTAAGCTTGAAAAATCTTCCAAATAAAATTCCCATCAGATATCCATTGTACGACAGTATAAAATAATATCTTATTGTATTCAGCATCTAGATCAGAACTAAATTTTGTAAAAAGTCAAGTGAGAACAAAAGAATTTATATCGTAAATTTTGTAAAAAGTCAAGTGAGAGCAAAAGAATTTATATCGTAAATTTTGTAAAAAGTCAAGTAAAAGCAAAAGAATTTATTTTGTTTATATTGTTTATATTGTTAAGTAATTTGAGTAATTGCTTAAATACAACTTTCATATAACCTGGTAAAGATTTGGATGCCAAAGCCTGTTTATGAATAAAACAATGTACACCAACTACATTTTGAGCAATGTCTTTCACTCTAATCATCAATTCAGACCTACAACCCATCATAGCAGGAGCTCTATCAGTTGTAATTATTAAAAATATTCAAACTAAAATTGATTGTCAGTGAAAAACTGTTTTGAAATTTCCTTAATATCAGCTGCTTTTGTTGTTGTTTCAAGGAAAGAAGAAAACAAAATTCTTTCTTGAATTTGTTATTGTGAATATACCTAATACAATTACTTGTACCATTGATATTTACATTGGTGGACTCATTTAATTGTATAGAAAATTATGGTAATTCTTTAATTTTATAAATAACACTTAACTATTATCATTTTAAAGATAGTAATTATATATTATATAATTATAATTATAATAATAATCTAACAGTTTCTTTAGTACATAGAAGTATAATTTCTTTAGCCAATGTGAGGCTTTTTATTCTGTGCTATTTTATTTATGAAACCTTATAAGATTTTTCTACTATTCCATTAAGTTTAAGAACAATCCCAGTTTTATCTTACTTTAATCTCTTCAATAATTTAAATTTTCTTTTGAAATCTTTTGTTGGAAGATCTGGATAACTCTTATTTAAGTGAACTGCAAGCTTCAAGGGTTTCATAGAGTTGTTTCCTAGTACTTTATAACAAACAAAATACTGTAGGTAGCTAATGTTTTCTTTGAGCAAGTAAAACAATATCTCATACACTGATCTGCATATGATCTTTTTTTAACTTTTAGACATATTTAAAAGTATTTTAAATATTATAAAAAGCATCAGTAATGTAGCAATAAGAGTTGTATAGTTCTCACATTTTCAAAGAAATACAAATTATTTTCTTTCAATCAAATGAGTCAAGAAAAATATTTTTATATTTTAGATAAGAAGGTTTTATATGGTTGGTCGTCATGTAAATCAAAATCAAGTTTTGCATTTTACCTATATATGAATGTATGTATGTATGTGTGCGTGAATGTATGTATGTATCAAACCTTCTCAGGAGACGCATGCAGCCATACACCTTATATTACCACCCATACATTTTTTTTTGACAATTTTTTGCATATATTGATAATTTGCGTGTTTTGAAAAATGCACTTATAAGACTAAACTAATTTAAAGAGAAAATTAAAAATAAACAAACCAAAAACTGAAAAGAGAAATCAAATTCAACTGAAAAAAAAGTAACCTAGAACTATAATTTCAAAGATATATCATTTTTTAGGAAATTACTTAAAAAAATTTGCAAATGCAATAAAAATTAATTACCCATAATTAAAAAAAGTTACTTAAAAATATACAAGATTTTATAAAGCATTGAAGACTATTGAGAATATATAAAAGTATTGAAGTTATTTTGACTGTATTTATAATAGTTCACAGGTATTAAAAGGTCTCAAAAAATAACAGGTATCAAAAGCAAAATTTGCTATTTTACTTGTACTTTAAATGATTTTACTGCAATTTGTGCTTGTGGAACAGATAGTTTTTTTGATACAATACAATATAAAGCTTTTACAATTTTTATATTACCCTGCACAACCATCAGCAAAAAAATTTAATTTAGGCATATTGGGAAATTTTGCAATTTGTTAAAAGATTTTGTACACATAGGTTAAATCATCGTCTGACATAAAACAGTAAGAAATATGTTATAGACCTTCATTGGTTTTAAAGTACATCACTACGCTCTTTATTTCATCATGGACTACAAAAGAATGATTTTCTGCAAAGTTTAAAATAGTTATTATGCTTGATTAATCCATATTTTATTTTAGTTGATTAATCAATGTTAGAGTGGGCAATAAAAGTACAAACTTGTAGCTTTGCGAAGCAAGATACTAAAAGTTTAATAAAAATCTCTTATAGTAATATAGTTTAATCTGAAATCTCTTTCTTGAATCTGATCTCACTTCTGTAACAGATTGGGACTAGCAGTGGCTTGTAAATTTTAACTGCAACAAAACTCTGTTATTTACTGCAAACAACTATGGCAATAATGTCGACATTCCTATATTGATAAATCGCAACCCTCACTACGAATTTTTTATGTTTTCTTGGATTATTGTTCACTACTAACTTCTCATGGAAACCATATATACAATTGGTTGTTAAGCTAGCATCAACTTAGGTTGCTTCTCTTTATCACGCTCCTCAACACTTTCTTACTCCTGATTTTCGTTTTCTACCTCTACAAATCTCTTATTTGTCCCTGTATGGAATACTGTTGTTATACTTGGGCTGTTTCATCTAATGATGCTCTTTTTCTTTTAGACAAGGTCCAAAAACGCATTGTAAACATAGTTGAACCTGCTTTATCTGCTCAGCTTGAGTCTCTCTTCCATCAACAAAAAGTTGTATCTCTATCTTTTTTACAAATACTATCATGGTCGCTGCTCAAAAGAGATTTCATTTCTAGTTCCATTAACAAAAACATTCCTGCTTGACTCGTCATTTAGTAAAGTTACATTCCTTTGTTGTATCTGTCCCTGTATGTTCTGAAAACTTTTATTCGTCTAGTTTTTTCCCTGCACTTCAACCTTTCGGAACTCTTTATTTTTATTTTTTTTTAACCCTTCTTTATTTTTTCCTGACCCGTACAAACTAAAACTTTTTAAGTCTTCTGTCAACTCTTGCCTGCTGTTGTTGAGTTCTGGATTGTTTTCTTTGTATAATACACATTGTTCTTCTAAATTACACAAAACAAGTTTTTTTTTGTGTATTGATGTTCTTTCCAATGCTTACATAATTTTTTTACTGATATCGACCAACTTAGTGATGCCACAATGAGAATTTGAACAATATTCCTTTTGTCGAAACAGAAAGTTTTTTCCTTTATCAAGTTTATAGTTTTATCAAAATTTTAGAGTCTTTTTTTTTATGATATATGTTTTATAACACATTTTTTTAAATATTTGTTTTAAAACACATTTTTTATATTTGTTTCATAACACATTTTTTATGGCATTTTTAAACAAAAATTGAGGTGACTTTCAATTTTTCTAGTATTTTATTTACTCTTCGTTGATGCATGCAACTTTTTGCTTTCATTCGGAGTATATATTTTGATGATTTTAAATGAGATTTTAGAGGAGATTAATATTTTAGAGATTTTTGTTGATCTTCTTTTTTTTTACTTGTAACCACAAAATCCTTATAATCTTGTTCACCATTCTTCTTCTGGTAATCTTTTGTTTACAAGAATTGCAGAGTTTCTTTTCATTTCAAAGTTTCTTTTATGTAGTTTATGTAGTTTATAATAAAAGATTATGATAAAATAACTTTTATGTAATTTATGTAGTTTATAATAAAAAATTATGATAAAATAACTTTTATGTAGTTTATGTAGTTTATAAATAAAAGATTATGATAAAATAACTTTTATGTAGTTTATGTAGTTTATAAATAAAAGATAATGATAAAATAACTTTTATGTAGTTTATGTAGTTTATAATAAAAGATTATGATAAAATAACTTTTATGTAGTTTATGTAGTTATTATAACAGATTATGATAAAATAACTTTTATGTAGTTTATGTAGTTTATAATAAAAGAATGTGATAAAATAACTTTTTTGTAGTTTATGTAGTTTATAAATAAAAGATTATGATAAAATAACTTTTATGTAGTTTATGTAGTTTATAAATAAAAGATTATGATAAAATAACTTTTATGTAGTTTATGTAGTTTATAAATAAAAGATAATGATAAAATAACTTTTATGTAGTTTATGTAGTTTATAATAAAAGCTTATGATAAAATAACTTTTATGTAGTTTATGTAGTTATTATAACAGATTATGATAAAATAACTTTTATGTAGTTTATGTAGTTTATAATAAAAGATTATGATAAAATAACTTTTTTGTAGTTTATGTAGTTTATAAATAAAAGATTATGATAAAATAACTTTTATGTAGTTTATATAGTTTATAATAAAAGAATATGATAAAATAACTTTTTTTTATCATAATCTTTTATTATAACTACATAAACTACATAAAAGTTATTTTATCATAATCTTATATTATAAACTACATAAACTACATAAAAGTTATTTTATCATAATCTTTTATTATAAACTACATAAACTACATAAAAGTTATTTTATCATAATCTTTTATTATAAACTACATAAACTACATAAAAGTTATTTTATCATAATCTTTTATTATAACTACATAAACTACATAAAAGTTATTTTATCATAATCTTTTATTACAACTACATAAACTACATAAAAGTTATTTTATCATAATCTTTTATTATAAACTACATAAACTACATAAAAGTTATTTTATCATAATCTTTTATTATAAACTACATAAACTACATAAAAGTTATTTTATCATAATCTTTTATTATAAACTACATAAACTACATAAAAGTTATTTTATCTTAATCTTTTATTATAAACTACATAAACTACATAAAAGTTATTTTACCATAATCTTTTATTATAACTACATAAACTACATAAAAGTTATTTTATCATAATCTTTTATTATAACTACATAAACTACATAAAAGTTATTTTATCATAATCTTTTATTATAAACTACATAAACTACATAAAAGTTATTTTATCATAATCTTTTATTATAAACTACATAAACTACATAAAAGTTATTTTATCATAATCAATAAATGTTTTCATAATTTTACTTTTGTTGTATCTCATTTTATTAAAGGAAACATTTTTATTATGTTGCGAAAACCAGGTCATTCGTAGAAATTTGAGAAACCAGGTCAATATCAAAATTAAAATATCTCAGGAACCATTCAACATTTTGGGCTAAAATTTTTTGTGTGAACATTTCTTTGTAACATGCAACAGTCAAAAAAAACTTGAAAAAAATATGAGGACCCATGATTCAAAGTTTCATAAATTTTAGATTATTTGATCTGGAATTACCTCCTGATGACACCATTTGTTTTATGTCTTTAATATAAAGTTATATTATGTTGTTTATTTTAGTTATAATAATTTTTTAGTAGTAATAATGTTTAGTAGTTCTACTAAAAATTGATAATGGAATCAGCCAAAATAAGTATTCCATATGTATTCCATACAGGATATGTATTCTATACAAGATATGTATTCCATACAGGATATGTATTCCATACAAGATATGCATTCCATACAAGATACAAGATATGTATTCCATACAAGAATGGGTAAAAAAAAAAAAAAACTTATTTTAAAATTAAACTTCTTTAAAAAAAGTTTTATTTTAAAGAAGTTTAAAATAAAATGTCTGAGATAATGTCTGAGATAAGTGAAAATTAATTAAATCGCACAGCCACACATGAACTAACACATATGTTTAATGAGGATTAAAAACTGTGAATCAGCTTCTCGAAAAATCATGAAAAGTGGACATATCAATTGAATAAATCTATAAATGTATCATAATTTAATTTATATTATATGATTATATTATACATGGTATGACTTATTTAACTTAAATTTAAAACTTTTTATTTTTCTACACAATCTGGCAACCAAGTTTTAATTTATAATTGTGAACATAATACCTTAGCTTGTCGTTTTTAAGTTTAGTTTCGTGCTTATTTTGTTGTGGTGACCCTTCATTTTCAATAAGAATGTGATCAGGTCCTTTTCGTTTAGCATGTGTCAATACAGCATTTCGTGTAGTGTAGAAAGTACCACATGAACATTGAAAAAGTTGGTGGCATCTACCCATGTGTTTTTCCTTGATTTCAAATGAACCAAACTTCTTTAAACACTTGCCACAAGTAAATTTTTTTTCTGCATGTTGACTTGTGTAATGCTAAAAATATTTTGTATAAAACAGAAACAAACAACCAAAATATCAACAACTAATAATTTTAGTATGTATTAATATTTTGTTGGTATAGGTACATAGTCTTAAATATAAAAGAAGGGCAGTCTAGTGTAAAAAAACTTTTTTTCCGTAATTTGTTTCAAAAACTGCAGTTTGAATTATATGACATTATAGGTTTAAATTAATACTGATGGTCTTGTGTAAATTTAAAATCAACCTCTAATATACAAAAAACAAATAGAAAATAACCAAAATCACTATCAATATTAATAGTTATTTTGGTTATATGTTTTTTTTATATATTATAGGTTGTAAGTTAATTATGTCAGTTGATTTAAACGGACACAATACTAATTTAAACGGACACAATACTAAGTTTAAATTTATGAAATTTAATGAAATACAAAAAAAAAATTACTTTAAATAATTATTATTATGGTGATGATGGCTATTTAACTAATTATATCAAATAATTTTGAGATTTCAAATTGTAATAGAGCAAAAAATAATGCCCAATAAGATATGTACTAATTGTGTAAACTTTTTTTAAAAAAAAAAAACTTGAGTGTCTTCAAGATACTCAAGCTTTTGATGGTACTTTTACTACTCATTTTAATACCAATCTTCATTATAGTATTCAATATTAAAGCAAGAAGCATTTTCTATGGACGTTCATTGAATGACAAATTACTTCTTATTTTAAACCAAATTAAGCAGTAAATATTAACAATGATGTGACACTGACTGGAAAATATAAACTATTGGGACAGCAAGCCTTCCCAGAAAGTGCATGTGGTGGCACACCTTGTTTGTTCTCGTTTAAAGTAATTTTTTAAAATAAAACAAAATAAAAATAAAAATATTTCTGGATATACAATTTATTCGCGACTTTTGTCAGTCAGTATATTATATTTTAGTATAGTATTTTAAAATTTGTTTTTAAAATATTTTTGCTAAACTTTACTATTTTTATCAATGCACAGGAAAGTGAGAAAACTAATTGCTATTTATTTGTAAAAAAAAAATTGTTTTTAACAAGTTTTTCATGTAAAAAAATAAAAGTCATTAATGTTCAAATATAAAATATTTGGTTGTTTTCACAACCCCTGTTGAAATAGTCTGCACTTTGGTTGGATTTTCCAAATTGTGCATTTAAACTAGAACTAAACTAGTTTATTTCTTGATGAACTATTGTTATTGACAATGCTCCAAATCCTTGATGAACTATTGTTATTGACAATGCTCCAAATCCTTGATGAACTATTGTTATTGACAATGCTCCAAATCCTTGTGAGCTATTGCATTGTTAATTTACTGAACTTTTTTTATGAAATTTTTGGGAGCTTATTTAAAACTTTTTAAGTTTTTAAATATATTTTTTTTAGGTTTTTAAATATATTTTTTTTAGGTTTTTAAATATATTTTTTTAAGTTTTTAAATATATTTTTTTAAGTTTTTAAATCTTTTTTTTAAAGTTTTTAAATAAGTTTTTTTTTAATCAAATAATATAATTTACAAATAAATAACAATTTATTTTCTTATTTTCCTATAATATAAGTATAAATAAAAAACATCAAATTTTAAAAAACAAAAAGATATGAAAACGAATAAAAATGTATGAAAAGAAATTAACAAAATTCTAACAGTGCACAGGAAATTAGTTTCTTAATTATACAGACTGATAAAAATCATTAATAAATTGCATATCAAAACTTTCAATTGTTGTTAAATTGTTATAAAATATAATATAAAATATACATTTTATAAAATATATATTTTATATTATTAAAATTAATTTTTTTCCTCAACTTCTATCAAATTAGGTAGTTAAAAATAACAACCATCCTAAAAAAAAAGAATACAAAAGTTTGAAAGCGAAAAAAAAAATTTTTTTCAATTTTCTTTTTTAAATTATTAATTTTTTTTTAGTTTATTTAATAAAAATTTGATATTTTGTTATAGTTTTGTTTCCTTCTTTTAGTATTGGATTTTTTTTTCTCAGTAGATTTCTTTCTCAGTAGTTTAGCTTTTTGTCAAGAATTACTAAAATGCTTAAAAAGTTAAAAGAAGCAAACTGCTGTGGTCAATGTGTCTAAAAAAACTACTTTAAACATGGACAAAAAGCCAAGTGATCGCACAGCCTTCCTGGAAAGGTTTGGGCAGTGATAAAAAAAAAAAATTTCTAATTGATTCAGCCAATAATGTTATATAGTCAATAAATAATGTTGCATAACCTTGGACACTTGAACCAGTACTGCATTATGGAGTTAACAGGGTAGACAGTAATTAACCTATCACTCATCCTAGCAAAAAAACAGATTAATCCATTGATAGACATTAAAATCACTCCTGCTCAAGTTTTTCTCACTTTTAATTCTCATTATAACTTTTCTACAGCTTGCAGTCAGGCAACATTCTTGTCACAGTCTAATAGAAAAAAAGAAGACAAAATTTTTTTTTGGAACTTTTTATTCTCTAAACTATC